TGGGACACCCTGTATATGTGTTATTGATATCGTTGGATATGTTAATTTATAAGGAATTGAATGCTTAAATAATATACAGGGTGTGGCATTTGAAAAAAATTAAATAAATTTAACTTGGAATTAGCCATATTTAAGACTTGTTTTTCAAAACACACTGTACAAAATAATCCAGTTCTATTACCACTATTCGTTAGCTTACTATCTTATTACTACATTTAAAAAAAAATTGAAATTATTTTAAACCTACCTAAATAATGATAATTTAATTTGGGGTCTGAATAATTCTCTAATTTCATAAAAAAAATTAATTTATTGGCAACCCTGCAATATTTGTTAATAAAATTCTAGGGTTAAATACAGCATTACCAAAGCATTCAAAAACTGAAGTAAAATACAGGGATTTCTTTTTAAAAAATATACCGTTTTATTTGTCAGACAAAAACGCAAAACCCTGTATGTCTAAAAATATCTTTAAAATACCTATTTTTAAAATGCATATAACTTTTATTTAGAAATTGTATACGTGTTTACAACACAAATTAAAATATTGAACAATTATGCACTAATGGGACAACCTGAATATATTATTCACAATATATGCACGCGACCTATGTTTGTAATAATTTAATCTCGCGCCGCGTTTATATATTTTATTCATGCGTCTATTAGATATTGTAGTTTACTAAGACCCAACCACAACATTTGCTTCGGCAGTCAACGTGTTTTAAATGCTTTTTTATTAATTTGTTGTTTAATTTGTATTTAGTTATTAATATTTCAAAAATGCTTATTTTTCTTATTGATTAATCTAAAATACGTAATTTTTATTTATAATTGAAAATAGTACTGGAATTCTAAATTGACAAAAAAAGTAGAAATATGAAAACATAAATTACGACTCTACAAATGAAGTAAAATTTTATGATTAATTTCTTTTTTCTTACAAAAACATTATCTCAGCAATATGTCATAAGTTGCATACACACAGTAGGTCTATGTAAGTTGATAACAAATGGAAAACTTTTTTATTATTTATTTTACGAAAAAAAGTTATTCTTCATAAAAATTTATGCATGGTCTAACAGAAAATGCAACCACCAGATAGCAAATTTTATCAGTCGGTTTTACAAGGTTTGTCAAAAAATATAATTTTGCTCTCAAGATAAAATACCTTTATTTTCGACAAACCCTGTATACGACTGATAAAATTTGATATCAGATAATTGAAATTTAGGTTTTAGACCATGCATAACTTTTTATGTAAAGTAACTTTTTTTCTAAAATTAATAGACCATGCAATTGTTTATGAAAAATAAGTTTTTTTTTTTTTAATTCTTAAAAAGGTTTTCCGTATGCCGATGACGCCAACTTACATATAAATGAGATTAAATTTTTTGAAAATATTTTTTACTGATGCAGATCTAAATAAAGTATTGTTGGTAAATAAGGTACATTTTTCTTTTTTTATTTGGTTCTTTGGCTGTAAGACCTTTCGGTATATACATGGTATTCTATTAAGAATGGGAGCAACTGAAGATTAATTGATTAGAAATAAGCCGATTAAACGAAACATCCGTAGGTAAAACATTACTTGTTTCCGAAAAACAGAGTTTTAAAGTTGAAAATCAAAAATTATAAATAGCTACAATTTTTTTATTACTCAGTTTAATTTTACTAAATTCGGCAAACGTTATTGGTGTAATAAAATACATCTATCAGCAAAAAATAAGTTAAATAAGCTTTGCCAGTGGCGTACGTCATGGGCCAGTAACATCTTTTTCCTTCTAAATTTTAGTCCACGTCCACTTTTGATGTTTTTTAAATAAAGTTGAGTTAGTTTTTGAGATATTCGCACATATTAGAAAATTCTGTAGTTTTTAAATTTCGATTTTTTTTTTATTTAATTTCTAAGAGTACATTATTTATTTTAAAAACATCAAAAAATTTAAAATTTTATGTCCAAATAACATTTTGGATAGTGACGTAAAATTTAAGAGGTATGCGGTATTACGTACGAATGCTGTACGCCACTGGAAAAGTTAATTAAGGTAACTTATTTTTTTGCTGATAGGTGGATAATTTGACACCAAAAACGTTTGCCAAATTTAGTAAAATTGTTGTGAGTAATAAAAAAAATAAAGCAATAAATATTTTTTGGATTTTAACACCTTAACTCGGTACCAAGAAACATTTTATCTAAGCATGATTTGTTTAGTTGTCTTATTTTTAATCAGAGAATCGTCAGTTGTTCTATATCCCATTCTTAACGAAACACTATGTATAGTATAAGTGGTCCCTACGTAATGATACGAAGACCGTTGTCCTTTGTTGATTGGACACAAGAATGAACTACTAAACAGCGTTGGGTTTTTAGTAGCAACAGCTTGTACTGAAATTCAGATCGTGATTGTACCAGAACGTACTAGATTTGGCGATAAATTTCAAATGAGAACACAAACTCATTTTAAACCAAAAAATAAATAAAATGGGTATAACAAAAATATATTCTTACGTTGGTAAATAAAAAATTTAAAAAGAAACCAAAATAAACTTTATTTTAAACAAAAAAATATAAATTAAAATACGTAAAACAAAAATATATTTTTATATGGTTAAATAATAAAATTTAAAAATAAAAACAAACACTTATTTTTTATAGAAAAACAAATAAAATAAGGGTAAAAATTAAAAAATATTTGTTATGTCAATAGATTTACAATAATTAATCTATAATAGACTGTAAGTGTAGTATTCTTTTTAATAAATAATTTACCGTAATTAACAATGTTTAAATTTATTTACTAGAACATGAAAGTGTAGTCGATATTTATCAGGTTTTTAAATTTCCCGCTGGGTTATTTGTTTGATATCGATGATAGCGACACATAGTGGGCCAGATGTTAACTGCGTTCGAGCTGGTGGTTGTTAAGCATATGCTTAGGAGCGTATCTTATATTTATGTCCCTTATATGAAGACTCATACTCCCTTATCTCTTACCCATTATTTTCAAAGTATGGGAGCACTCATTTCTCTCAAGATTCTCATCAGAAATGTCGTACGTCAATGTGGAAACGCTGTTTTAAAGGCCTCGAGGATTAAAATTCTTACGAGAATTTGTATTCCCTCTAAATAAACCAAGAGAAACAATCTGTGAGTTCACACTGGCCCCAAGGGCCCTAAAAATACTGTTTTACGTTGACATATTATGACATTTCTCTTGAGAGGAATGACTTTTCTCGAGTTTGAAAATAGCCTCCCTGGTATAAAGTATCGCATTGGGAGTATCAGAAGTATCTACTGTCTAGCATAGAAATTGGAAATCATAGAATACATTATTCTAGAAGATCCAGCGAAATATTTAAAATGTACTAGATTTAGATACTTTTGTCTTTTGTGGTACTAGCATTTATGAATGGTTGAAATGTACTGAATCTAGTACAATTGTACTAATAAACCCAACGCTGCTACTAAATAAATATACCGACGTGCCGAATCTAATGCAAAAGTTTTATTTTTATACCTGTTTCATCGAAAATATTTGTCAAGGTCAAGAACTCGTTTAGTTATTATCGCGTAGTAGCTAGGGGTGATGAATTTGTTAGGTATTTTATAACAGTTACCGTTTAGAACTAATAAAATTATTACGCCATCTGTTGAACAAAAGAACTATTAAATATGGAATATTGCTCCATCTGCTGAACAAAAGGATTCTTAATTTATGACACATAAATGACATCTATCAAAATTAGTTCATGTTACGAATATTGGGGGTGGTACTGTGGTCTTAAGTGTCGTTTACCTTATCGTTCATCAATTAAATTAAAATGTCTTAATTTTGCAGTATTGACGATTAATTTCAATTATTTTAATCTAGAACCGAGCGGCTGACTAGAAAAATACAAGATGCCGTATTGATGTTGAATTGACCAGTCAAATGAGAAAAAATATTAACATGGAAAAATGTCAGTGGCGTACTACTTTTTTTGTAGAAAATATCAGATGACATGTTTGCAAAGACGCCACTGGTAGAATAATAAAATAAATTTTCTAACTAAAATATATGGTTTTATATCCCATTAACACATGCCAAAATTGAAAATTATATCTAAACTATTATAAAAAATATCTCTTTAAAAAACAAATTTTCAACTGCCTGTAGCAAAAAATTGAAGCCGTTGCGAACATATGTTCATATGAGTTTTTCTTCATAAAATGACCTGAGGAATCACACCCTACAATATTAGAATACCAATAAAAAACACCCTGTATAAATTGTACAGACAGGGAAGCAATTGTGAATTTTTAAAAAGTAATTCTAGATCAGTTATCTTTGATCAGATAAAATTTTTATCAGAAACCAATTTTAGTCGAAATCTGCTCACTTTTAAAAATAAATGTTTTTTAGTTGCTCACCCTGTATATATCTGATCGGAAGTATAACCGGTTTTGAGCCAAGAGGAAGCCTTACCTGCATTCAAAATTTGAAGTTTTTCTTCTAAGCCAGACGGCGGACAGACCGACGGAATGGAGAAAACATGTTTTTCGTAATCTAGGGACCCGAAAACGTAAAAATATAAATGTTCACGATTACAATATCGAGGGAAGTAAAAATAAATTAAGTATACTCAATCTCTGGAATGCTCCTCTACTAATTTAAAGGTGATGTATCAGTCTCCTTAGTTTTTTTTTGTATTTTGCCGGCTGGCTTTAAAGCTTTAAAGTCACACTATATCGTTTTCTTGTACTATACCTACTAATTTCTCTACTATTTTACAACTAGATACTAGATCCGACTGTAGGTATAAATTTGTCGCTGATTATTAGTTGTCAATTTTGAAAGTAGGTACATTGAAATAATACACATCCACAATTAATAACTTAAAAGAATTTAATCCTACAGTATTGCTTTTAAAATACTGATTATTTATACAATTTGAATACCTAAATTTCTATATTGTACATTCTAACAAATATCTATATTATATTACTGTACATATCTTCTAAAATTATCAGAAAAATAAAATATATATAAATAGTATTGAAAAACAAAATAAGTTTACTGGTTTTGGAGATCCTAAAATAACTTTCAGAAATCTCTTTACCCTATTCAACGTTAAAATAATTTGCAAAACAAAATAGTCAGGGTAAAACGTGTTTTCTCACGAACAAAAATATTGGAATGGCACAAATCGCCCATTTGTAGCTAAAACTGATAAAAAATTTAACTTTCAAAGAGACAGCTAACATAACTGGCTTGCCAATCCTTTCAACTTTCCTTCATAAAGGATTTAGAATAATATTAGTAGCAAATTTATATAGAAAATGCAGAACTGACAAAGTTAAAATTTTATTACGGATACACTTATTATTAACGCTCTGTTGCACGGATGACATTCAAAATATTATCAATGTCATCCTCTCAACAAAGATCTAAATTACGATTACAGAAATAATTTGCAATCAATTCAAATTATAGGAACTCTTATGCAATAATAATAATAATATTCAGGTAGATCAGTGAAATATATTTTTTTGTTCATGAGAAAATCTATAAATTTTTTTTTCTAATTTAAGATGAGTTTTATGATCAACGTATACATTATTAAGAAACTGGTTTTTTATTGGGTACAAAATAATAATTTTCATTTCAATATGCAACAGTTTCAATTGCTTCATCTTTTACGAATTAAAACATACCAATTGACAAAAAGAACAATTTGATCGAGCTAACAATAATTTCAAACTAAGCAATCCAGACATAGTATCCATTTCAGTATTACACTGCTCCATTTTCCGACTAGATATTGATTGCTAGTTTCTTCTTGTTTCGCATATATAAAAAATGAGGCAATAATATCCATACTGGTCCCTTGTAGTACTACAGGCTTATCCATTTTTAACAAACGGGAATGCCTGAAAAAGAAAAAAAAATAGTTTATATTTTGTATCAGAAACTTAGTTTTGAGTAATTAATGTTTAATTAGGCAATCTAAAAGCACCGATATTGATAGTTATAATATACTCAAGTTTAATACGAACTAAAACGTGTGTGTGTGTGTGTTAGTCTCCTATAATTGGTGTATGTGTTAGGTACGGATGTTTCTAAAATTGATTGGTAGCTTTCTATCAAATATCCTTACTTCAAATTATATACAGTATCGGCTATCGAACACCTTCCAATACGGTTTGTACAAGTAGATGTGAAAACTATAGAGAGTTAGCATTGATGCGAGCAGGAAACGAACGTTGCCAGCTTATACGGTTTGGAAAATGTTACAACGTGGTTGGGCTGGAAACGTTGATATTATTATTCGCTTGCTTGTACTAATGTTAACACTCTGTAGTTTTCACATCCACTTATGCAAGTTATATTGAAAAACGTTTAATAAAAACGTTCAGTATTTTTTCCTCATTTTTCCCTAAATAATGTCATTGTCACTCAATTTTCGTTCTAGTTAGGGTTTAAAAATTGAGTGACACTAAGATCTCCGTCCACAGCATTTCATAATTCCATCTATTGTGGTTCAAATTTATCCTTATGATTCACTCGTACAAATCATAACTTGTAATAGAGTTGAATGAATACAAATGTTCACAAGCCAAATTCTTGTGCTCTTCGTTGTTTGGTCTTTCACACTGCATAAGTACCGTAGGCCTAGCATTTGTTTTAGTTTATTCGCTCAATATATCTGACAATATCATGAATTAGATAATCATCCTTTTGTCATCTACCACATCTTAGTTCATAAGAAAAAAATTAAAATGGAAAAGGGTGAATTGTTAGAAAAGCCTTTAATAAAAATTAATAAAACGAATATATAGTAGAATAAGTTTGACCATAAAAATCATTTATATTTTATTGTATGTTGCCGTTTCTTTAAAGAAATAAAAGGTTTTGTGGATTAATATAAATTATAGTATTAAATCACAGTCCAATAATTATCATTTACCTTAAAATAGTATTTATATAGACATTACAATAATAATAATTTAATATTTAATGAATTCCAAACTGACATGTAACCTTCATTTGTGAATAAGAAAATTAGGAATAAAAGTTATTATTGAAAGTGTCGATGATGACAAAAACGTTGACGTTACGTCACATTATAATGTTCCTTCCTTTTCACAGTTTCTAACGTGAATGATAATTATTATTGCAAGTCTGCCATCACGATTTTGATAAAATAATGGGATTTTCTAAATCGTACTTTATATTGTTTGCATTACAATGTTTGTTTTTTTTTTATATATAAAGAACGATGACTATTCGGCTAATGAATATAAATACAGGTATTAGCTTTAAGGCAAACCGAATTATGTAATATTTTTAAATTATTTGCTTCTATTGACGACTTTGGTTTCTATAATTAAGTTATATTTGTAGGATGATTTCAATAATTTAAAGCTGTGTCATTGAATCGATTATTTAAATTCGTTAACGCTAATTGCTAATTACAATAGTATAATATAAATGCATTTATCACTTTGAACAGAGAAAATTTACTTGATATTACCGGTTGGGAGAAAAGGAGCAAAGTTTTACTTAAAGCAGCTTCTTAAAGATTGTATAAATTAATTATTTAATCTTTATTTTATTTCCCTTCAAAGTGTGGTATATAATACTTCGTGTACTTTGAACATAATAAGTTTGCTTTGGAAACAACAATAATACTGTAGCACAGAATAACCTACCCCTATTACAGAATCGAAGGATAGATAATTTTTAGGATCCAAAATTTTTTGCGCATGATCAGGTCCGCCATTTTATAACCGGCCAAACTGTCATGTCACCAGGGTCGACGAGAGGGAGGGGTAGCCGGGACAAATTCCCGGGGCCCGGGCACAAATGAAGAAATGCAGTTACTGGACAACTCTGCACTCAAGAGAAGACTCGAATGAAAGAAAAGCCATTTGAGCTAGTGCAGTGAACGTTAGTGCTAGTGTAAAACAGTATAATAAATCGTTACGCCATTTATTGGTGATGCTTTTCTATCAACGAGGAACAACTACTAGATTAATTTTGTTTACAAAAATTGAATTGCAAACAATCACGGATTTATCCACCGAGTTGTCAAAGTATTATAAGGCTCTAAAACACATAAAAGGCTTTCAAAATTACAGTTGGGAAGTATATTTGCATTTTTAATGCCAGTTATTATCAGTTTAATCTATTTTTCTAGATCCAACTATCATAGTTGAAGTTGTTTTCCAGGAAAGTACCCAATTAATTAATACATTAATAAATTGTAAAAGAAGCACTCTGTTAAAGAGTTAATGTTATCTAAAAAAAACTGATGAATTAAGCACAACGAGTATTCGGTCTGGTTCATCCAGTAAAAACCTTTTTTAATTTAGCGATCAGTACAATTTACTTCAAACTAAATTATTGTGAAGCCTTATTTTTCTAATTTAACACTAACATTCAATTCAGAGAAGAAAGAGTGGATGTTGCTAAATAGGTTTGTTACAGATATTTAATTCCAGTGTAACAACCGGCAAAAACGTCAACTGTCACCGAGTGTCACTTTAAATTTTGACCACCCCGACATCAAAGTGCCGACGCAAGGTAATAGGTAGGTTATTCTGTGACTGTAGTTTGTCTTGACATCTTGATAAGCAATTTTGGATAACTATTAGCGATTCAAACTAAATGATACACTCTCTATAGGACATTATTGGTTCTTTCGTTCGCTGTTGGTGCCGTGTCCACCAGTGTAAATTACACCAGTTACACCACCTTATTTACCCTAATTTACTTCATCCTTATTCCTTACACACATGTCGAGTGTAATTTACCCCTGCTAAATAGCTAGTGGAGAAAAATCCACCAGTGGATACCACATCGCTGACAGGAAGGTGTAGTGGATTTTACACCGAGCCAAACGAAAGGTATGATGTGCGTTGCTGTAGTTCATTCCTACACTAGTGGGACGAACGAAAGGACCTTATGTTTATAAGTAGGCATGTTCCAGTTTTGCCAACCGTTCGCAAGGTGGTGTGATCGTACATCCAGCTGGAATTTTGTGATATGGTAGGCGAGATCACCAGGAAGTGTTATTTGCAAGGATTTACTTTAAAACCCCTGCAAACGAGACGTCAGACCACTCAAAGTTGTAATTTATTTGTTTAAATATATACAATACACATATTTAATTTGATAACTCATTTGACATACGGTTCAATTTACAATAAATGCATTTTTTATTTTTTCTTTATTTTGGAAAATATATGAAAATTTACTTTTCTTTTTGTTTTCTTTTTTTACGTGCATACGTCACCGGGAATAGACCAATCAGTTCAAGTCGAAGTTTTGGATGTTACACAGAACCAAGTCAACGAAGAAACCGACACTTAGAATGTCGAAGTGAACGTATATATTTTAGTGACAGTGACAGTATTGACTCTACATGACCTAATAGACATTACTTGATTGACGGTATAACCATCACAACATATATAGTGCTGTCATGCCGCTATTTTTTTAAACAATAATCTACAAATTAAACATAATTACTTTAAAAACATTTCATTTTTTGTATTTAAACGAACTTAATTTAATTTTATAGCTCATAAGTAAGAAGCTTGATAGAGCTCGATTTTTTTGTGAAGAGCACACTTCGTCATAATGTGCAGAAACTAATTTGAGTTTGTAGGCGTGGTCAGACAGATTTAAACGTGATCAAAGCCACCTGCCGCTCATCACCGCTCATACAAGTTGAATTCAGTAGCATAGTGTTACTTATTTGTACTTGTTGCATTTATTTAGCTGCGCGAACTGTGGCATAGCTATGACGAATGTGCTCTTCACAAAAAAATCGAGCTCTACAAACGAATGTACTTCTCATATAGCACCTAGCGTTGTATTGGTCCAGTCCTACAATAGATCTGAAAAGGTCGCGGTGGACGAGGACAAACAGTCCTACTCCTCTTGAATCTAACCGTTATCGGCTACGTCATAAATTTAAAGTTTCTAGAAAACGACTAATTATCTAATCTTCCCTTCAATATGAAAAAAAAGTTAAAACATTGTTTTTTCGAAATTAGACCCGAAAGTTGCACACCTTTTGTTCTGGATATTTTCAATCCACCTTGCCCTCTACTCCCTCCACCCACAGTTGTATAGAGAACCAAAATGTAAGGTGTAATCCGATTTTCGTTACTACCTTCCCCTCCCACAATTGATTTTTTAACGGATATTAATGACTGGAACAGTATTATATCTGGACGTTCCTTAAAATGGAGCATTATGACCTCGAAGAACAAGTTACTTCGCCCTCTCCCCTAAGTGTAATAAATAAAATATAAAGATAGTGGAAATAAGAAGAAATGTCATGAAAAAGAAATGTCAAGAAGAAGAAATGTCAAGAAGATGAAATGTCAAGAAAAATAAATGTCATATCTCTGAAAGTAACCCATATTTTTGAACCTGTCCCATTGTTGGGTTTAAAAATTTATAAATACATTACTATTCTTATCTACACTGGTATAGCTTGTCGTGGAATTTAGTTATATGATAAACTTTAATGACATATCCATCCCTTCCCACATCCTTAATACGTACAAAATCGTATTGCAATTACAAAGCCTTAATTTTAGAAATCAGTGGCATCAGTAGATTCATTATTCACTTGTGAGATGTTAACCGAAAAGGTAGACAACTCTAAAAAGCATGTCAAAAGAAGATTATAATTACCTACCTAATTTATAAATGTGTGACAATAATTTCGTCATCGATATCATCTTTCTCGTCATCGGTTTCTTCTGGTTCTTGAGGAACGATTTCTTTGTTTTTAGCTGCCTCAGCTGCCTTCCTTTCCTTCTCCTTCTGTCTTCGGATTTTGTGAAGATGGTGGATTTCAACGATGATATAGAGTAGGAATCCGATTAGGAGTACAGTAAGTTGAACGTAGAGCTTCATGCGGGCGCAAATGTGCGTTGAGTAGGCGTAGGCGATTACGAATCCTACACTCTCCCACAGACGGTAGTTGGAGAAAGCTGCCTCTTTGTTTCGTCGGAAGAGGGTACCATAAAGACCTAAAACATAAATAATGATATTATTAGTCATTAAATCAATATCAACCATTTTAAATAACCTTAAACAGTTTATTTTTAGCGATCATTAAAACTAGAATAGCTCCTCCTACCATTGGGTTTCAATTATTTCATAATAATAAATTCCAAATAGTTTGATTTTTTTTTAATTAAATAAACAAAATAGTAGTTGATTTTTGATACATCATTTTTAAAGATTGCGTGAAAAAGGATTGGAGTTAAATGACCAATAATGGTAGTTGTAGTTATATTTGAATGTATTTATGTTAACTTTGAATTACCATGTCATTTAATTTATGTTTATGGTACATTAAGAACATGAATTGCCATCTTAATTACAAGTTATTGTGATTTTAATTTGGATGCTTAATTTAACTGCAAACATTAACAGGTTTTTTATAACCGTGTATTTTTGTTTAATTGTGCAATATAAGCGGATATATTTGGTTTATGAATTGTTATTTTTGGATTTGTATAGGATTTATCTGCGAACAGTATTTTATTAATTAAAGTAAAATCATAAGTGGAATTTTGAAATAAAAAAAGAATTATTATATTATCTTAATCAGAATGAGAATTTCTTGTTTTAACAAAAGTAGTTCCTATAAATCGTTGGAAATTATTTTTAAGTAATGTCAAAAATATCAAAATCGTAATCTCTGCGAAATTTTACTTAATTTTAACCATCCCCTCGTTTATCTGTTAATCATTGGTTATACACATTATGCCATCTAGCGGCGAGGTTAAAAACTTAAAAATATTTTCCACCATTGTTTATTGACCACTTTTGCATTGAAATTTTTTTCTCATAATTCTACGATGGATAGATTCTGAGATACAGGCTTTATCTTTCAGCCACCAACAACCGGCGACCTTTATTATTTGGACACTCGACACTTTTAGAAGAGATTGACTATTTGCTAAAATAATAAGAATAAAAAATCGGTTTGATGAGATCATTACTGCGGAAATGAATTAACATGAAATAATTCGCTATGGATGTTTTCAATTCACCAGCAGATAATAATGAGTCGACCACCATTTTCTGCCAAGATTATCCTTGCTCTCACTCCTATTTAGAGATAGCACGATTTTAATGTTGGCTTGAAAAGAAATACAATTTAATGAATAAGGAGTAGGCATGTGAAATAATACGTAAACACAAAAAGTGCCTATTCACCTGCGAAAGTCCAATATTTAGTGAAATTTCAAGCAATAATATCAACTTCTAGTAAAGTATAACCGCGCAGGCAAATTTCGTTACACTTTGTATATTGGAAGAAATTTGCTTTTGAAGATCCATTAAAAAACTCTGAAACTATGTGGAGTATAGATCGAAATATATTCGAAGAAAAAGTTGCAGAAAATTGCGTCCATAAATTTACAGAATTATAAATAAAATAGATATATTAATGAAATAACTCTGTTATACGACACAAGTTCATTGGTAAACGGTTGTCTATTCATCAGATATTTTAATTTGAATGACAACTAAATGAATTATTCATTTACAGGTATATTATTAAAATATGACTTGATTAAGTGTATATTATAGTACAAATTTGCATGAGTTATTCTGAAATACGCAGTGATTAAATAAACTCAAACAACAAAAATTGTACATTTTATATTACTAGTTGCGCATGCAAAGTTTTGCAATATCGAGGGCTAAGAGAACAAAAAATATTGTATGTCCATTTTTTTTAAACTGGGATATATACGATTTTATGTCTATTTTTTCGAAAATAGGTTGGAAATACACGATTATGTCCTTCAAAGTGAAATCTTTAGAGTTTCCAAATATTGTACGTCCACTCGTTAGTAACATAACAATCAAAACATGTCTAATCGAAGATTTCCCGCAGGCAGCGAGGCTTCAAAAAGCTCTCTCAAAAGATCCACACCAAAGCATTGGTGCGCTAAAACTTCCCTGACTCGGCCATCACAGACGTGGCCGACTGGGTAGAGGAAGAATACAATCCATCTGTTTCTGATTGGCAAACTGCCAAACACATTGTAGACGATGAAACAATTAGATGGGCAATATCCAGCTTCTCTCCATTTAAATCGCCAGGACTTGACGGTATTTATCCAGCCCTACTTCAGTGGGGTCTGGGAGAACTCACATCGCACCTGGTGGGTATATTCAGATCCTCGTTGGCTCTGAGGTATATCCCCAAAAAATGGAGAGAGGTAAAAGTGGTATTTATACCCAAACCTGGAAGGATGGATCACACTGTCCCAAAAACATACAAACATACCGAGCAATTAGTCTGACATCGTTTTCTATGAAGACATTGGAAAGCCTATGCGAAAGGTACATACGGGATGCGGTAAATACAACACCACTACACCCAAACCAACATGCATACACCCCAGGCAGATCTACTGATTCAGCCCTTCATCTAGTTGCTGGCCGGATAGAAAGATCCCTGAACAATAAGGAGTCCGCATTGAGTGTTTTCATAGACATAGACAGTGCTTTTGATAAAACCACCTTCCCAAAGATAATATACTCACTAACCAACAGGAATGTTCCAAAAATGGTCAGTGGGTGGATACATAACATGCTCTCAAAGCGAGCAGTAAACATAAGTGTAGAAGATGTGAATATAAGAGGCTTGGTTGCGAGGGGATGTCCACAGGGAGGGGTGCTATCAACTCTACTGTGGAATATGGTCCTCATCAGCCGCCTCAATAATGACAGTCACTACACAATAGCATATGCAGATGACCTGGTCATTCTGCAAACAGGGAATTTTGAGAACATACTCTGCGAAAGAATGCAAGTAGCTCTAGAAATTATAGAACAGTGGTGCAAGGACCATTCACTGTCTATCAATCCTAAGAAGACAGAAATTGTCCTTTTCACAAGGAAAATAATGAAAATGGAATTAAAAGCTCCAGAACTCCTAAACAAAAAACAAAACTTTGCAACAGAGGTGAAGTACCTAGATATCACCTTTGACAGCAAGTTAACATGGAACTCGCATTTAGAAAACAGAGTTAAAAGAGCATGCATTGCTTATAAACAATGCCGCCGAACCGTGGAGCGCACCTGGGGTTTCTCCCCCAGAGTGGTCGCATGGACTTACACGGCTACTATAAGATCTATGCTAACATACGGTGCAGTTGTCTGAGTACCGAAAACCCAAAAATTAACAGCTATTCGTAAACTCGAACAAATTCAAAGAACAGCATGTTTCAACGTAACAGGAGCCATGAAAACAACTCCGACCAGAGCGATGGAAATCATTCTTAGTCTCACTCTGACGACAATGACATGCCTCCACACGGTTGGAATAGAACCTGATGTAGGATGTGGTGTGGCAAGACGCCACTTTTGGCAGGAGGCGCTCGATACGCTCCCAATGCTTCAAGCGAACATGGACTCCATCTCACCGAGATATATCTTCCATATGCTATATAAAGTTATAATAGAACAAATAGAAGAGCCAGAAGTGGCAGCTACGATTCATATCTACACCGACGGTTCTAAAACAAAACAAGGCTCAGGATGTGGAATATACTCCAGATTCTTAAACCTAAACATAAAATGGACTGTGAGCAATAGCAGCAAAAGAAATAACCAGAAACATTATCACTGGAAGGAGCATGCTCATCTATACAGATAGCAGACAAGCACTACTCACCCTGAACAGACCACGAATTTATTCAGGGTTAGTACTAGAATGTCACGAAGATTTGGCATGTATGCATCAACAATGAGGTCACCTTAAGATGGATCAAAGGTCACGCCACATCGAAAGGTAACCATCTTGCTGATTCACTAGCCAAGAAAGCAGCCAACCAAATACTTTTTGGACCTGTCCCTTCTATTGGCCTAACAAAATCGGTAGTAACAGACCTAATTAAAGAACATTCCCTGTGAAATTCAAGGAAAGATGGAATGAAACAAGAAACTGCAGAATTGCCAGGGAGCTCTTAAGTTATCCTGACAATACTGCAGCAAACAAATACTATGACTAGACAGATTCTGCGCCTAGTCAGAGGCATTCTGACTGGTCATTGCCAAGTACGGAAGCATCTCCATATCATGGGGCTGTCAGAATCCGCACTCTGTAGAGGGTGCGAACAAGAAGATGAGATCATCGAGCATATCCTTTACGATTGCTCGACGCTCTCATTTATTAGAAGATTTGTGTTCGGCGAGTATCGGCTAACACCGGCCGATATAAGAGAAGCACCTCTTGGCGACGTTGTTAACTACATTAAATCTGTAGGCTGGCTCACCAGCTAGGAGGTGCCTATCATCTTAGGAGGATGCACAATGGGCTTAATGAGGCCTAAGTGCCGGGGGGGAAACCCACCCTCCACACGTTACAGATACAGAGATACAGATGCCCACTAAAAAAAACATAAACATAGTTCACACTATATTGTATGTCACATTAAAATTTTTTTATTTGTGCACAATGGGATTGATGACTAAGACAGTGTACAACTTACACTACAGTATGACAGTGTCCTGCCAGTTTCCAATGTAAAAAATTACCTTCTTTGTTTGCTATGCGACAACGCAATTCCAGAAGATTTTAGAAGATGTTATATACATCCGCAGCGGCTAGAACTGCAACGGATTACGAAACAAGACTTATTTGTTTGAATTTATGTACAATTAAGTTAATACATATTTCAGTTATATCACTATTACAATTTTTATGCGTATCCGCTTCAATTACATAATATTTTATTAAAGATAATATTGTATGTCCGTAATCTACAATTATTGTATGCATATCCAGGTAGTTAATTACCGTTAATTTATTATATTATATGACAGAAATTTGGTGAATATTAACACTAACGCACACCAAAAACTGAATAGTGTCTTATCTGACTACAAAAAGTGGGACGTCGTCTTGCTATTTGTAGATGGGCATAGGGGAGTAGGGGCAAACAACATGTACTATGTCCTGGTGGTGAAAGTGATCGTGTGATCTTTAAGATTCAAATTAAAC